TGGTGTTGGAATAATGGGTTAATGTTGGACTTGTGGGCTTGGGCAGCATTGGGTTGGGATATTTTCTTGATGCGCACTTAATCTTTACAGAAAACTCTCTCTTATAAAAAAAAAGTATTGCTACAAAATCATAGAACCTTTATTAGAAAAAAGTATCCAAATGTGGGCCTATCATTTCGGTAGGGAAACAATTGTTTCCATATTTTCCCCCTTCCCTGGAGAGTCCCACAATTTGGTCTATACCACCAGGTGCAAACAGCAGTTGGGGCATCCTTGAGGAGCTCAAATCATGTTCCTTTTCAATGTTCACACCCTCACGGGGCAGGCAGCCCCGGGTTATTTTTGAAGGATGAGCAAGGGTACTGTCACGACAGGGGAAAATTCTTTGGTCTAGCTTTCCTGTCCTTTTTCTCACCAATGAAGGATTCAATTTCCTTTCGGCTTCTTCCTAATAAGTCCCCTTTGTTGACCTGAGTTCCTGGAGAAAGTCTATCGGGAAGACCCGTTTTGAATCACCATGACTTTCTGTGCTGACTTCATGGCCATGAATTAAACTGCCCAGAACATCTGCCTGGAAGCCACTGTTTTATTTGGAGATAGATTTTATATATATGTATATATACACATATAGCTGTGAATTCGGTTAAGGCTATATTAGATAACCCATACACATTTTGTTTCAATTCATCCATTGCAATTCCCTCCATATACTGTCACTTACTCTACTTCTATTTCCATGCCTCCTTCTTTCCTAAGCCTCGGAACTCTGTCCTTAGGTGAATGCTGCCCTTAGTCGTGGATCATTCTAACACAGGGTTGGGTTCAGTTGCACATCTGAAGGGTGACTACTAAGGGCCATAGTCTTGGGGATCTCAAGTTTCTACCCCACCGGTAAATCTGGGTTTTTAAGATTTGAAGTATGTATTAGTCCATGTTTTTCTTCAAATCTACCCAAGACTCTGCTGATTGTTTTTCACCAGTTTCGAGTGGTGGCTGGGCACCATCTATGACTTCTGGTTTCAGAGTTGTTTGCGTAGTTGGACATTTTTTGAAGGCACTCTACTGATACTAAGACCAGAGTATTGCCCAGAGAAGTTGTCGGCCACCTTCCATGGATGGCAGAGACAATCTAAACGTGTTGTGTTGGAAATAGCCTCTCTGTGTACGAACTGGAACCCGAGTAGCAATACTTCTTGACTCGCCCTTACAAGTAATATTGACCAGGAACTGCAGACTCACCCCTTGAATGCGCAACTCTTCTTTGAGAGGAGCCAGGCTGCATTTCTTGCCCAGCATACAGCTATACCACCTGGGGAAGAACGAGACAGGTGAAGCTCTGCTGATGTGGGGACCCTGTAAAATGAAGTAATACTACGTGGCAAAGATGAGCACAGCAACACACACACACTGAATCACTCTTTGCATTTTTAAGTAACAATAAGTGTACATAACGTGTTTCAAGAAAGGCAAGGCCTACTGGTGGAAAACACACTCAAAACCATTTTAAATGTAAAAGCCCCACACAGCACTCACCAATGTTTCAGGGCAGGATGTATTTGGAACAAAAGGGGAAAGACCTTTTAGCTCTAGGGCAGAACCTGGACAGGAAGTAGTACAAAAGCATATATACACACCCCTTTCACCACTAGGAAAACATAGAAGATTCAGCATGAATCTGATGTCCTCACTTGCACATTAATGACAGTGGTTCTCAACCTTCCTCATGCTGTGACCCTTTAATACAGTTCATGTTGTGGTGACCCCCAACCATAAAATCATTTTCATTGCTACTTCACTGTCATTTTGCTACTGTTAGGAATCGAGCGACCCCTGTGAAAGGGTCAATCAACCCCCAAAGGGGTCATAACCCACAGGTTGAGAACTGCTGCTATAGGACAAGGTAGAACCGCCCTTGTGAGTTTCTTTTTATTTATTTAAACTTTTAAGCTTAATTTATTCCATGCCCTAAGTTTTTGCTTCTTCAGTTTCTTCTGTGCAACCTCCTCTTCTGGCTTCAGAACAATGTGTTCCTCTTCAGTCAGGATCACTTCAGTGTGGCAGGGGAGCTCATGTGTGAAGTGATCCGACCGTGAGCTCTGTGAGTCCAGCAGCGTGTCTTGGGGGCTTTGTTCACCTGGAGGTGCTCACTGAACAGAGAATCCACATCTAAACCCTTACGTTTAGCATTACTCTCTGCATTTTTAAGCATGTGCAGCAAGAGTTCTGCACTCGTTTTGGGCCAGCGATCCGGTCCAACCCCACTGTTTGGCCTGGGTACACCTACCAAGTGCACCATTGATGCCAGAAAGGCACACACTGCTTCTGCAAAGTGACATCTTTCAGATAGTTGGTGCACACCCCCCTTTAAGGCTTGCAGTTTCACAGGTGTTCTTAAAGTGGACTCGGAGATTCAACCCTCTTGATTTGCATGACCGTGTGGGTTTCTGGGTCAAGTGAGTGGCAGACCATTTTGGCAGATCACCTCAGGCCACTGCAGGGAGAGCAAGCCGCAGTTCCCAACCTGTGGGTCACGACCCCTTTAGGGATCGAACGGCCCATTTCACAGGGGTCGCCCTGACTCATCACAGTAGCAAAATGACAGTGATGAAGTAGCAACGAAAATAATGTTATGGTTGGGGGGGTCACCACCACATGAGGAACTGTAAGAGAGGGTTGTGGCATCAGGAAGGTTGAAAACCACTTCTTTAAAGGAAGAGAAAACCCATCTTTCTCCAAAGGCTTGCTGGTGGTTTCAAACTGCTGATCTTGCTGTTCAGAGCCCAATGCCTTAACCACTCCGCCACTACGGTTTCTGAATTTATCCCATAGTATATACAAATCCAAAAAAACAAGTGTGGTAAGGATTTCTTCCAATTGCTCTTTAAAAATTGCAAATATAAACACTCATACAGAATATTTTCCTTAGCCCATCCAGGATGAACTACTATAAGAATTGTCCTACCTCCATAAACAAACAAGGAAACAGCATTTTTACGGAGGGCAACAGTGTCCACACACTGGACAGCCAGCAGCGTAAGCCTCTGGTTGCTAGAAAAGGAGACAAATAAATAAGGAAAGCCCTACAATTGTCAGACTTTATGGCCTGAAGGCAATTTCCAGGAGATGGTTCAGGAAAGGGAAACCCAGATAGGCCAAGGCGGCTGGATGAATTGATGAGACCCACTGAGGCAGTTAGGCTCTGCAGAGCAAAATGGCAGAGAGGAACAAACTGCACAGAAAGAGATCTCTGGGGATCTGAACATGGGTTCGGCAAAATATTTGTCTGAATAACGATCTGCTCGTGTGCGGGGTGGAATTCCATGAGACTACTGAAGGAACACCCAGAGAGCAGTTGGCTACACAATTCCTGAAGCCCAGGCATGGCTAGGAACAGTGTGTGGCTCTATTAGCCAGAGCAGAAGGTCTTCCTAATAAAGGGGGAGTCCAGAAAGTTTCTGCTTTATGGCTAGGTTAAAGATGGTTCTGGATGTACCTAACAAAGTAAACTCAAAAGGCTCAAGGAACTTAAGCACTAGGTGCTAGAACAAAGTCTGATAGTGTGGTTGTTAGGTGCCACCAGTCGGTTCCGAGCCAGAGACCCACAGTGACCCTCTGCACAACAAAATGCAACGCTGATCCTACACCTTGAGCCCACTGCTGGATCCACTGCGTCAATCCACCTCGCCGAGGGCCTTCCCCTTTTTACTACTCTACAGTTACAGATCCTTCTACCACCCTGACAAAACTCAGGGAGCACTGGGCGCAGTCACGGCTGTGGCCGACTTATCTTCTTCTGCACACAAGACCTGCGTTGTGTTCCAGGCCAGTGGACCTCAACCACAGTCACCACCCGCTTGTTCAGATTTCAGTGGAACTTCCAGGCTAAAATGAAAGACCTGAAGATCTACTTCCAAAAAACCTGTCAATGAAAACGCTACAGATCATACCAGTCCAATTCCTTTGTGCATGGGCTAACTTTGACTAACAACAGTGGCCCCTAGGCAAAGATGTCCCATTTCCCCTACCTCCCACCCCTGGTCTCAATGTACTTGCCTATTTCGTGTAAGTGGGATTATAAAATACATGTCATTCGGTGAGTGACTTATTTCACTCAATATGATGTTTCCAAGATTCATCCATGTTGTAGTATACGTCTATCAGGATTTCATTTCTCTTACCGACAGAGTATGGCATGCTAACTGCTTATAAAGTTAACAGACAAGGCTAAGTCAAACAGCAATGATACAAACCCAGCGACACCATAATTAAACAAAATGTAAGGGAGCCCTGGCGGCACAGTGGTTACATGTTGGGCTGTTAACCACAAAGTCAGCAGCTTGAAACCACCAGCCACTCGTTGGGAGAAAGACGAGGCTTTCTAGTCTCACAGAGTGAAGTCTTTGGAAACCCAGAGGGGAACTCCTACCCTGTCCTACAGGGTCACTAGGAGTAATAATTATTAGGTGGCAGTCAGTGACCGAGTAGCAAAACGTAAATTTGATTCTCAGTATTTCAACCTCCATCCAGGTCTATGTACTTCTGAAGGCAGTGAGTCAGTCCATCTGTCTAGCTCTCTCCTGAGTGGTCTGGGAACCCTTGAGAGAGTCAAAGTGTTCCTTTAAAAGTTCTTGAGTCTGGGGAATAAAAAGGCGGCTTGGGAGGCAAGATCAGGACCGTGGGGTGGATGGTAGGTTACCCAAAACAATTCTCACAGGCAGTCCTTGCTGTTCTTCAAGAATGTGCAGGTGCATTGCCGTGAATTAACCAAAGTGTCCTCTGCATAAAATATTGGCCTTTTTCTCATGGGTGCAGTTTTCAACTTTCTTAAAGCTTCTTCCTAATAAGTTTACTTCTGTGTCGTTGGAGTAAACTAATCATGATTAGCCCTTTGGGGTCAATAGTTTCCATACCCTTCGGAGCTGACTTCTCTCTCTTAGAGTTGAACTGGTCCAGCACTGATTGCCTCCAAAGTCACTGTTTTGATTGGACCTTTTTTCGAAATGCACCAAGTAAGACTAAGACAGCTGTTTTACATAAGACCTTGTCTGCAGCCATCCTCTGATTGCAGAGACACGTTTTAACGTGCTTTGTTCAGAATAAGCCTGTGATGGATGATAGTAGCAATCCTTTGTGACTTATCCTCGTATACTTATCACAGGGTTTCAGAATTCTACTCCTGGGCATTGACTCAAGAAAGGGAACAGGTCCACACGACAATCTGTATGCAACTGTCCATGGCCGTTTTAGTCGCACGCCCCACACTTACAAACAACCCTGAGGTCCAGGTCTATTCACCGCAGCATGGAGTAAGCAATCGTGGCATTCCCACAGATGCCATACTATTTAGCAATAAAATGGGACACACGCTACCGAGACAAAGAACGGTTATATGACACGTATGAAACCACCCACAAGAAAACTACACTGTCTATGATGTCATTTGTATGAAAGCCTAGAAAAGGTAAAACTATTGGGACAGAGCTATGTGAACGGTGCTGGAACGGAAAGAGGTGGGCAGCTGCTGCCCAGGAGAGAGAGAGGGCGGTCTGCTCCCATGGAGAACACAACCTCGGACACCCTGTGAGGCAGTTCTACTTTGTCACAAGGGCTCACTATGAATGAGAATCAACTTCATGACAATGCATTTGAGAGGTTGGGCGTAGGGTGGGGATAACTACAAAGGGGTCTAGGGAACTTAAATAAATAACTTTATTGTGAATTGGGTGGGGGAGGGGCTACATATCATAACATCATCTTCTTTTTCTTGCATTCAATAACAACTTATCAAGCCTCCAGTCTAAGGAACTCTGAAACAGTTGCTCTGAGTCGAGTTAGAATCATGGCAATCCCATGTGTGTTAGCACACCGTGTTCTCCAGAAGTTCAATGGCTGATCGTTCGGAAGTAGGTATCCAGGCCTTTCTTTCAGGGCTCCACAGGTGAGTTTGAATCTGCTACCTTTCACTCTTTACAGTGATGGCAAGCTCATGTTTTTATTGTGGTGGTCGTTAACATATACACATTTGTCAAAACTCATCCAACTGTATGCTTAAAATTAGAGAATTTTACCATATGAAAATTTTAGCTCACTAAACAAATTTAAATGTATAAATTTATAAATGTGATGTATCTTATACCTCTAAAAACCTGTAAATAATTAACACTATATTGATGTTTTTCATATTTCCTTTTTGTTTTATAATATAGCTTAGTCACACTAGCAATTTATATTTTGTATCCTGCTGATGGGAGGTCTGCATCCTAATTATTCCCATGTAATTTAAACTCATTTAATTGTATATTATTACTA